CAGAGGCTATTTAATTTTCCAGCTTCATGAGGGGATGCTTTTTGAATTCCGGCCACCGGGGGAGCTGTTGCGTCACCGTCCACTTGCGACACCATTGGAGTACTTCCTCATTCTTTTGTACACTGCTGGAGAATTTTATGGCATTCTAAATTAGTTAAATTAGCCCTCTCACATAAACTGTACCTAAATTTCGTACTTGACAGATGCAACTGTCTTCTGGGCTGCAAAGGTCAACAGCAAGCTAAACAAATGGTTGGGAACTTACTCCGACCTGGGCTGGCTTCGAAGTCTTGACCTTTCAGTTATTAATGGTTTTAATGCAGTTGACTCCCAACCAGCTGCACCACAATCCAGCCCTTGGTGTGTATATGTATGTGTGTATATATCATCATCATCATCATCATCATCATCATCATCATCATCATCATCATTTTATTTCTTAATTAGTCGCTCTCCACCAAAGTGCTCCGAGCGACTTATTTATATCTATATAAATAACTAACATCTGGCTTGAGTTACAAAAGCTAAATAATTTCATGCAACTCCCAGGATCCCATCTGTCGGGAGGGATCGAATGGTGCCTTGCTGCCTGGCAGAAGCAGGGGTTGGACTGGATGGCCTTTGGGAGTCCCTTCCAAATATAGGATTCTAGATCTATTTTGTGTGTGTGTGTAATCTATATCAATAAAAATGTAATGTTCGTTTGTGGGATTAACATAACACAAAAACCACCGGACAGACTGACACCAAATTTGGACACTATACCTCTAACAGGCGAACGAGTGACCATCACTCATAACCTTCCCCCTCCCACCCAAAAAAACCAGCTGAAAGGATCTAAAACCCCAAAAAGCTAAATGATGAAAAGCAAAATAACAATATAGAAAAAAGAGAAGGAAGAAGGAGGGAAGGAAGAGGAGAAAGAAAGAAAGAAAGAAAGAAAGAAAGAAAGAAAGAAAGAAAGAAGAGGGAGAGAAAGAAAGAAGGAAAGAGAGAAGGAAGGAGAAGAGGTAGAGAAGGAAGGAGGAAAGCAGAAGGAAAAGAAAAAGGGGGAAAGGAAAGAGGTAGAGAAGGAGGAAGGAAGAAGGAGAAGGAAGAAAAAAGGAAGGAAGGAAAGAGGGAGCAAAGGAAGGAGGAAAAGAAGGAGAGAAAGAAGGAGGAAGAAAAGAAAGGAAGGAAGGAGAGAAGAAGAAAAGGAAGGAAGGAAAGAGGGAGCAAAGGAAGGAGGAAAAGAAGGAGAGAAAGAGGGAGGGAAGGAAAGAAGGAAAGTGAGAAGGAAGGATGGAAGCCAAAAGCAAAGGAAGGAAGGAAAAAGGTAGTGAAGGAACAAGAGAAAGAATGAGGAAAAGAAAGGGGGGAAGGAAAGAAAGAGGTAGAGAAGGGAGAGAAGGAAAGAAGAAAAGGGGAGGGAAGAGAAGGAAGGAGGGAAAGAAGGAGAGAAAGGGAGGGAAGGAAAGAGAAGGATGGAAGTAAAGAGCGAAAGGAAGGAAGAAAGAGGTAGAGAAGGAAAAGAGAAAGAAGAGGAAAAGAAAAGGGGAAGAGGTAGAGAGGAAGGAAGGAGAGAAGGAAAGAAAAAACAAGGAAAGAAGGAAAGAGGAGCAAGGGAAGGAGGGAAAGGAGAGAAAGAGGGAGGGAAAGAAGGAAGGAAGGAAAGAAGGAAGGAAGGAAAGAGGTGGAGAAGGAAGAAAGAAGAGAAAGAGGGAGGGAAAGAAAAAGGGGGAGGAAGGAAAGAGGTGGAGAAGGAAGGAGAGAAGGAAAGAAAAAACAAGGAAAGAAGGAAAGAGGAGCAAGGGAAGGAGGGAAAGGAGAGAAAGAGGGAGGGAAAGAAGGAAGGAAGGAAAGAGGTGGAAAAGGAAGAAAGAAAAGAGGGAGGGAAAGAAAAAAGGGGAGGAAGGAAAGAGGTGGAGAAGGAAGGAGAGAAGGAAAGAAAAAAAAGGGAGGAAGGAAGAAAGAAGGAGGAAGGAAGAGGAAAAGGAGAGAAAGAGGGAGGGAAGTTGGCCACAGCAACGTGGTCGGGTACAGCTAGTGTGTGTGTGTGTGTGTGTGTGTGTATGTAGTATATATATAAATATATATATATATATATATATATATATATATATATATATATGGGGGTTTTGGTCTTATATTTCTGGTCTTCTTTGCAGAAGCGATGGGAAAGCGAGCGCCTCTCTCAAGCCAAGAAGAAACCCTACGAAGAGGAGAACCTCTACGAAGTAAGTGATGGGCAATCAAGAGGGCGGAATGTTTCCCCAGCCTTTGACCCTTTGGGTGACCCTTCTCTGGACATCTCTCTCTCCTGCGTGTCCATCTCCTTCTTGGGTGGCTTGGCCCAGAACTGGACACAGGGTGGTGATTATTATATTATTCCAGGTATCGTCTTATAAGGCACTGAGATGATAACCATATGATGCCAATCTCGTGTGTGTACCCCCAATTTGGGGAGGTCATTCAGCCCCAAAAGGGGAGCACGAGGATTGAATTACCGTATATACTTGAGTATAAGCCGACCCGAATATAAGCCGAGGAAGGCACCTAATTTTACCACAAAAAACTGGGGAAACTTATTGACTCGAGAATAAGCCGAGGGTGGGAAATGCAGAAGTTACGGGTAAATTTCAAAATAAAAATAGATATCAATAAAGTTACATTAATTGAGGCATCAGGAGGTTAAATGTTTTTGAATATTTACATAAAACTGTAATTTAAGATAAGACTGTCCAGCTCTGATTAAATCATTATTCTAATCTTCAGTGTCAATGTGCCTATGTATCCTTCCAATAATAATAAAGGAAAATAATAATAATAATAATAATAATAATAATAATAATAATAATAATGAAATCCAGCATGTATACCTCATTTGCTGTGTCATACTGTATTTTTGTGTCAGGGTAATAATAATAATAATAATAATAATAATAATAATAATAATAATAATAATAGAGTAAAATAATGGAAATATAATAACAGTAATAACAGAGTAAAATTATAAATGCATTGTCGAAGGCTTTCATGGCTGGAATCACTGGGTTGTTGTAGGTTTTTTCGGGCTATATGGCCATGTTCTAGAGGCATTCTCTCCTGATGTTTCGCCTGCATCTATGGCAAGCATCCTCAGAGGTAGTGAGGTCTGTTGGAATTAGGACAATGGGAACCCAATTATAAATGCAGTAGCAATAAAAAATAAAGTAAAATAATAAATGTAATAATAATAAAGAGTAAATAAATAATACTAATAATAAATAGAGTAAAATAATACATCTAATAAAATAATAATACTGTAGAGTAAAATAATGTAATAATAATAATAATAAATATATTAAAATTATTCATGTAATAAAATGATACTAACAACAAAGTAAAGTAATAAATAACCTTGACTCGAGTATAAGCCGAGGGGAACTTTTTCAGCCTAAAAAGGGGGCTGATAAACTAGGCTTATACTCGAGTATATACAGTAATAGGGTATTTTTCAGATCCAAACAATGTGCCTCCTTTTCCTGCTTCTTAGGGGCTGAACCTGGACGACTGCTCCATGTACGAGGACATCTCCCGGGGGCTCCAGGCCACTTACCAGGACATCGGCAGCGTCAAGGTCATCGACCTCCAGCTGGAAAAACCCCAGAAGCCCTGAATGCTCTGGATTCTGATCCATTGGGAAGCCCTCTCTGCAGAGCATAGGGTTCCTCCCATTTTGCATGCATGCACGCACGCATATACGGACCCTTTTTGCAAAGGCTCGTTTCTGCAAAGAAGGACAACCGACGCAAATGCAATGCAGCAAAAAGCGCTTCCCTGGCATTCTGGTCTCTGCAAAAATATTCTGAATGGGACTCTCTTCTTTTCCTTTCGTATTGACACCTTTCTGGAAATATACAAGCCATCTCCGAGTTGCAAATTGTTGCATCCCAGTTCAAGAAACAAGACCATAAGATTAAACCCACCACTCTGGATTGTAGGAAAAGCAATCCTTGTTTATTGATGAAAAATTGGTTACAAAAGAAAGGTAAATGTAGAGTCAAAAAGCCACAGAAAAACACAGTAGTCAATAGGATCTCTGAACTTGAGCAAAACTTCAAAAGCCACAAAACAATAACCAGGAGTCTGTTAGCCTTTTACTAACCATGAACTTGGAAACTAGAAGCCTCTGGGATTACTGGCCATGGAACACAGGAATTCTGCCAAGGCCAGCCACAGTCCCGAACGTTGCTTGACCTAAAGAAGCACCCGGCAGGAACCCTCTTAAACCAAAGAAGCTATTCTTAGAAACGCCCCTTGACTTTTCTGTCTGGGCCTCTTTCTGCTGTAAGCGCTGTGACCTTCGTAAAGACTGGGAAACATTTCTATCTCTGACTATCTGTTCTCTTCGGTCCTCATTATCAACCCCAGGTGGAGAGATATCACGGCTAACTTCCAAAACATTCTCTTCTAGCTGTTGGGTTTCGTTTTCATTCCCACTGACCTCTGCATCAACAACAGATTCCACACTGTCAGAGTCAGGGAGAGCTTGCTCAGTTGGAAAAACTATCAGAGAATCCTGTTCACACAGATCAGGATCAGGCTGAACCCCAACACAAATGCCCAGTTAAGAACAATCGAACTGGACTGGATGGCCTTTGAGGGTCACTTCCAAATCTATGATACTTTATCTATATATATAAAAATGCTCATGTCGTAATGAGTGGCTTAAAAACAAAAGAACCAATGAATGAAATCACACCAAATTTGGCAACAAATTTTAGCTGGCACTACACAAGGAGTGACCATCACTCAAAAAATTATGATTTTGTCATTTGGGAGTTGTAGTTGCTGGGATTTATATATATATAAAAATGCTCTGTGCATAATGAGTACCTTAAAAACAAAAGAACCAATGAACGAAATCACACCAAATTTGGCAACAAAACGCCTCACAACACAAGGAGTGACCATCACTCAAAAATTTTTGATTTTGTCATTTGGGAGTTGTAGTTGCTGGGATTTATAGTTCACCTACAATCAAAGAGCATTCTGAACTCCATCAACGATGGAATTGAACCAAACTTGGCACACAGAACTCCCATGACCAACAGAAAATACTGGAAGGTTTTGGTGAGCATTGACCTTGAGTTTTGGAGTTGTAGTTCACCTACATCCAGAGAGCACTGTGGACTCAAACAATGATGGATCTGGACCAAACTTGGCACAGATACTCAATATGCCCAAATGAACACAAATGGAGTTTGGGGAAATAGACCTTGACATTTGGGAGTTGTAGTTACTGGGATTTATAGTTCACCTACAATCAAAGAGCATTCTGAACCCCACGAACGACAGAATGGGGCAAACTTCCCACACAGAACCCCCATAACCAACAGAAAATACTCAAGGCCATACAGTCCAATTCCCTTCACCAGGGAAGAAAATGTAATCAAAGCACTCCTGACAAAGAGCCATCCAGCCATAGATAGATAGATAGATAGATAGATAGATAGATAGATAGAGATAGATAGATAGAGATAGGGAGTTGTAGTTGCTGGGATTTATAGTTCACCTACAACTACCATGATAGAATTGAACCAACCGGGGCATACAGGACTCCCATGACCAACAGAAAACACTAGAAGGGTTTGGTGAGCATTGACCTTGAGTTTGGGAGTTGTAGTTCACCTACATCCAGAGACTACCATGAACTCAATGATGGATCTCGACAAAACTTGGCACGGATATTCCATATACCCAAATAGGAACACAGATGGTGTTTGGGGGACATAGACCTTGGCATTTGGGAGTTGTAGTTACTGGGATTTATAGTTCACCTACAATCAAAGAGCATTCTGAACCCCACGAACGACAGAATCAGGGCAAACTTCCTACACAGAACCCCCATGACCAACAGAAAATACTTAAGGCCATCCAATCCAACTCCCTTCACCAGGGCAAGAAAACGTAATCAAAGCCCTCCTGACAGAGAGCCATCCAGCCATAGATATAGATAGATATATATGATTCACACACACAGATAAAGTATTATAGATTTGAAAGGGACTCCTAAAGATGGACAATTATATGTTGCATGTTCCAGAGTAGGCAAACCAGACAATCTCTATGTCAACACTGTCAAAGAAACATCAAGAAATACTGTTTACTCACAAGTATAAAGACATTACAGCACTTTCTCATTACTTTATTTTCCATATCACCAGACTGGGCCACAGCAACACGTGGCAGGGGACCGCTAGTCTATTATATATATACATACACACACAGCCTATGCCCAAGTTGCAAACACAACTTGCAAGCAACTCACAGTTAAGAACAATGGGGCTGGACTGGATGGCCTTTGACAGTCTCCTCGGAAGCCATGATACTATATCTATCGTTATATGTATAGTATCATGGCTTTGGAAGGGACTGTCTCATATAAATATACATATATACATATACAGGCCCTGAGTTGCAAGCAACTCACAGTTAAGAACAAGCTGGACTGGATGGCCCTTGGGTGTCAATTCCAAATCTATATTATATGTATAGGATTCTATAGATCTATTTTGTGTGTGTGTAATGATATTGCAACGTGTCTTCTATATACCTATGTATATAATAAAAATGAAAATATCTGTGCATCTGTCTTTTGGAGAGGGGATTGGCCTGGGTTGATGGGTGTTGTAGTCCCTTCCCACCCAAAGGGCATTGTGAACCCCATCGATGATGGACCCTGGTACATACATGTGCGTGCGCATGTGTATGTATATGTACTTGTGTATATATACCGTATATACTCAAGTATAAGCCGACCTGAATATAAGACGAGGCACTTAATTTTACCGCAAAAAACTGGGGAAATGTATTGACTCAAGTATAAGCCGAGGGTGGGAAATGCAGCAGCTACTGGTAAGTTTCAAAATAGATATAGATACTAAGAAAATTACATTAATTGGGGCATCAGTAGAGTAAATATTCAAAAATATTTAAATAAAATTGTAATGTAAGATAAAGCTGTCCAACTCTGGTTAAACCATTCTTTTCAACCTTCTTCAATGTAAATGTGCTTACATATCCTTCCAATAATAATAAAGGGAGTAAAATAATACATGTAATTAAAAGAATAATAGAGTAAAATAATGGAAATGTAATAACAGTAATAAGAGAGTAAAATAATACATGTAATAATAACAATAGAGTAAAATAATAAATGTTATAATAACAATAAAGAGTAAAATAATAAATGTAATAATAATAATAGAGTAAAATAATAAATGCAATAAAAATAATACTAATAACAGAGTAAAATAGTAAATTACATTGACTCGAGTATAAGCCGAGGGGAGATTTTTCAGCCTAAAAAAGGGGCTGAAAAACTAGGCTTATACTCAAGTATATACAGTGTGTGTATATATATATATATAATATATATATATACACACACACACACTCCGTATATATATTCATTATGACTGACTTTAAATACTGATGGGATTTTGGAGGAATTTACCCAGCGCGATGGGACTTGTAATTCACCCAGGTCCTTATGCATTTCCTAATGGGAGCCTTCGTGATAACAAAAACCAATATTATTATGTTTGGGGAAAGCTTTTGCTTCTATATTTTGGGATAGAAATACACTGGATGATGATGGTGGTGGTGGTTCTTGGAGAAGGCTTTGTTTGGCTTCTGTATTTTGGGATATAAATAGAGTAATATTTATTTATTTATTATGTCAGAAGCAAATTGTGAATACAATTATAATACATAAAAAAACCACAAAGTAAGTTTTAAAAATTGGCATGATGGTAAATGTCCTTTGAGCAGTCTCTGTCCCCTTGGAGTGCCTCTGGTGTTGCCGCAAGAAGGTCCTCCCTTGTGCATCATGTGGCAGGGCTCAGGTTGCATTGCAGCAGGTGGTCAGCGGTTTGCTCCTCTCCACACTCGCATGTTGTGGATTCCACTTTGTGGCCCCATTTCTTGAGGTTGGCTCTGCATCTCGTGGTGCCAGAGCGCAGTCTGTTCAGCACCTTCCAAGTCGCCCAGTCTTCTGTGTGCCCAGGGGGAAGTCTCTCATTTGGTATCAGCCATGGATTGAGGTGCTGGGTTTGAGCCTGCCACTTTTGGACTCTCGCTTGCTGAGGTGTCCCAGCGAGTGTCTCTGTAGATCTTAGAAAACTATTTCTTGATTTAAGTCGTTGACGTGCTGGCTGATACCCAAACAGGGGATGAGCTGGAGATGATAAATATTAATAATATAATAATACAATTAATATTAACTATATATTACATGCACACAATTGTTGTATTATTACTAATTATTACTTTATTATTATAATTGTATTATTATATTATTATTATTTATTATTATAATTGTATTATTATATAAATATTAATAATATAATAATACAATTATAATAAAATAATAATTAGTAATAATACAACAATTGTGTGCGTGTAATATAGTTAATATTAATAATACAATTATAATAATATAATAAATATTAATAATATAATAATACAATTATAACAATAAGGTAATAACTAGTAATAATACAACAACAATTGTGTGTGTGTTGTTGTTGTTGTTCATTCGTTCAGTCGTCTCCGACTCTTCGTGACCTCATGGACCAGCCCACGCCAGAGCTCCCTGTCGGCCGTCACCACCCCCAGCTCCTTCAAGGTCAGTCCAGTCACTTCAAGGATGCCATCCATCCATCTTGCCCTTGGTCGGCCCCTCTTCCTTTTGCCTTCACTTTCCCCAGCATCATTCCCTTCTCTAGGCTTTGCTGTCTCCTCATGATGTGGCCAAAGGACTTCAGCTTTGTCTCTAGTCTCCTTCCCTCCAGTGAGCAGTCGGGCTTTCTTTCCTGGAGGATGGACTGGTTGGATCTTCTCGCAGTCCAAGGCACTCTCAGCACTTTCCTCCAACACCACAGCTCAAAAGCCTCTCTCTTCCTTGGCTCAGCCTT